GTCCCTCACAATCCCCTTCACTCCCAACCCCCTTCACTCTTCCCTCTCACTTCCAGTCTTAGTGCTTCCCAAAGCCACTGAAATAAGGAAAGTGGTCCTGTAGCAGGGAAAAGGGGAATTTAACCATCACAGAACCCCTGACGCTGCCAAGTAAACACTTTTAGATTGTCAGTGGATTGCAGCAGAGTTGTGGGCAAACCATTACCCAGGCAATTAATGTAATTGGGTTAACTGCCCATAATTGAGGTAACTGCCCAAAGAAATGGGGATAGTCAGCTTGTGTCAGGTGTGCTGCTGTTGGTACTCCAGGCTCCTCAGGAATTTCTCCATGGAGTGGTGTTTGACAGCTCACATTGCCTGGCACCTCAGAGGGAAGGAAACGGCTCTTCAGCTGATGAAGACCCTTCCCTGCTCAGTGTTTTATAGACAGGCTTTCAGCGTTGAATGTGGGTGTGAATTTTTAAAGTTCTCAAGCAGCTTTTTGTTAATGGATCCTTTGGATTTTGTGTTTTACAGGAACCACGACATCGAGTTCACATCTCAGGTGAGCACAGGCTGTCCCCTGATGTCAGTGCTGATACCAGTGAGGGGGGGCTGCAAGGGAATTAAGCCAAGCTCAAGCCACTTCACATAAAGGAGGCTGGTCTTTGTTAGTGAATGATTCCTGCTTGGCATTAATATTCAAAGCCTGACACCTACTGCCAGGCAGGTATTTGCAAATGTGATAATGCTGAAAGGAAACTTCAATAATTTGCATTATTCCAGTACGAGAGTCAAATTTTAGAAGTCTTCCCTGCAGCGTCAATAATGGTTTCAGTGGAAAACAACTTGCACAGGTACCTTTATTCCACAGTGTGCTTTTGAAAAGGATCCTTCACTCTCTTGCCAGTAAAGCTGCTGCTGAGCAGCACGAGCTGCACCTTTAAAAGGCATTGTGTGTGTGGCAGAAAACTTGTCCAGGGTTCAACTGCAGACAGCAAATGCCATTGAACAGCTGGCACAACCTCCTGTTGGTCACCTCGTGTTCAATGAGTCTGTCCACTGGTCAGAAACACGAGATGTGACCCCACCATAAACTGCTGGGAGTTGCTGTAGCATCAGCTGTTTTTTCTTGGGAGAGGATTGGTTTGAATACTGTTTTTAAAATAAATGTGAAACTCGAGGATTTGAATATATGCTTCGTGTACCACTTCATCTCACTTTGTATATGCCCCAAATATAAAAGGCTGGAATTTTTTTAAATATTCTTTAATCTATTTTCATTCTTATTTGCCTTGTTCTAAACATGTTTTTCATAGTAGGGCTGTGTAATTAATGAAGAAACCACATTACTATCTACCAGGCAAAATTCTTAATCAAGATGTCTCCCCTTTCTTCCCTTCTTTGCTTAGACTGAAGATATTGAAGAATTAATTCCCAAAGGACTGTCTGAGGCAACAAAGCAGCAGATTCGTTATCTCCTCCAGGTATGGGAGTGTGGAAGCCAAATAGGAACTTGAAACAGCAGCTGGTTTACTCACAGCAGGGTCTTTGTACATAACATACTTAAGAGTTCACTCTGTATTCCCCTCATTCCATTTTTCTGGTGTGCAGGGGATGGAATGGTCCAGGTGGCCATGAGGGAAGTGTGGCAGCTGGACCTACAGTCCCATTTTTTAAACTGAACTTTATTGGTGCTTTCCTGCAGTTTCACTGGAAACTGTCTTGGCTTTTGATCACCGACAACAGAACTGAGACCTTTCATCTTTCTGTCTGTGTTGTGTGTTAATACTTTGCTTTAAAAGCCAAAACCAAATAGTAGGTGCTGAAAACACATGGCAGAAAGTATTGCAGTGCTGGGAAACAACTAAATGCCAGCAGAGCCTGCATCCCAACTGCTCACAGCCCAACCCCATGGCTGGGGAGGGAGCTAAAGAACAGATCAGGAGGACAAAACCCTTTACAAATGGAACCACAGCAGGAATGGGGCTGTTTGTTACCCAGTGCCACAAGCACAGCTCAGCACTTAGTGCTGCATTTGCCAGGCAGGAATGTTGGAATAGGATCCAGAACAACCTGCACTGCTCTGCAGGTGTGTCCTGAGCCAGGCTCCCTGAGGTGGGGGTAGGGTGATCCTACTTGGGAGCTGCACCTTGGAGTTGCTTCCTGTTTAAAAAAATATCCATTGAAATGAAGTTGTGAACAAGCAACCTGGTCTGAGCTCAGAGCTTGTCTTGCTTTAAGCAGGAGGCTGGGACAAGATGAGCTCCCAAATCCCTTCCAACTTCTCTTAGAAGGAAGATGGACATGGACACCCAAGTAATTGCTGAGTGGGGTTTTATTTAAGTTTTATAGTCTAAATTCAAATATTTTGACTTAATTCCTTCTTTTAAACTGCTCTATAGTGTATTTAACAATAAACCCAACAAAAACCAGAAGTCAAAACTGAAATTCCGCTTTAATTAAAAAACAAAGAGGTGAGTGACACCAGAAATGTGATTTTTGAAGCCTCAGTTACACAATGGCACCAGTGGGGATAAAAAAATCACACAAGGGCCAATCCCCACATGGATGGAACTGCGAGCACATCCTTTAGCTGGGATGAGCAACAAATCAAGGGAACAGACAGGAAGGTTCACTTTTGTCCAGGCAGTAAAAAATACAGGTTTTGCACAGAATATTCAGCCCTTCCAGGTGAGTCACAACTTAAGGATTTACTCGTGTGTCCTTTCAAAGTCTGTATTTCTTCTTTAAAATACCAGAAATGTATCATGAAATGCAACAACTTGTGTTTTCACCTGAATCAATAGACAGCTGTTACAGGCATTAAAATTAACATTCCAAAGGAGAACAGTGCTTGGCTGTGATGCACTTCTGCCTTTTTCTTTCATCCAGGTGACTCCTTTCATCTTTGGGATCTTTCTCCTTTTAATGGGAGGAGTTGGTTGTATGAACTTTTTTAATTTAAATTTTTGAAAATGTTAATTAAATTCCCTCACCCTTAAGCCCAAAGCCTTGCCAGATCTCAAACATGACTCATTCCATGGCTTCTCAGGCAGGGCAGTAATTTTTTTAAATCAGTGTAAGCACAAAGCTTTGAATGCTCAAACAATGATCGTGCAATATTAGCACGTTCATTTTCCCCTTTATTGGTATACAAAGGCAGTTCCTTGCTGTCTTGTTCCTTCCATTTTAGAATGTTGTCCTGTGTTGCAAGGCAGCAACTTAAAACTATGGCATTTGCAGAACAAAGTGCATGAAAATGTGTTTCTTGTAGAAATTGTGGGCACTTCAAAGGATGTGCAGTAGTTTAAAACTGATTTTCAGCTGTACAGCAGTTTCTGTTCTGCCTCTTGTCAAGCATATTGTAAACAGAGCTAATGAATCCCAATTATCCATTTCATTTTGTAAACAGAGCTAATTAATCCCAATTATCCATTTCATTCTTTCCCTCCTAGATGAGAGTGACGTCGGATAAATCCCTGAGACTTGTGCTTTCCACTTTCAAGAATCTCCGGGAGGAGCTGTGCCATTTGCAGGATGACCTGGGGGTGAGCAGGTTCCTCCCTTCCCAGGGCTCCTCCACCTGTTTTCCCTGGCAGCAGGAGTCCAACGCTGACATTCCAGTGCTGGATCCAGGCTGGGGCTACTCTGTTCACACGGCAGAGGAGGTTGGGTGGTGCTGGGGGCTTTGGCAGCTCCAGAGGTTCTCTGGGTACAGCATCCCAGTCTGGAAGCTGGAGCTCTGTGGCTGTGGGTACAGAGAGCTGTTAGGGAAGCAGAAGTGTTTCCCACACCAGCCCAAGTGCTTGGCACCACTGGGAATGTCACAGCATTCTCCTGTAAAATGCAAAGTTTAGGGAGAGGGTGTTTTAACTGTCATCTTTAACAGAGAACAAGGAGGTCTTAGTTTTAGGTTGGTTGGTTTTTTTTTTTCTTTGTTTTGTTTTTCTTTTTTTTTGGTTTTTTTTTTGGTGGGATTTTTGTTTGGTTTTTTTGGGTGGGATTTTTGTTTGTTTGTTTTCAGGTTTCTGTTTGGGGGTTTTTGTTTGTTCGGGTTTTTGCTTGTTTGGGTTTTTTTTGGCTTCTGTTTAAATTCTTTCTGGGGCAGACTGGAAGAGCAGTGTCCAGGATCCCACAAAGCCACAGACACTGCAGGGTGTCCTATGTTGACTGTTTTCTCAGTTCTAGAACACCCCCTCAGTGTGTTGCACTTCATGGGAAGAGTTTACTGAAAAACTGCAGCTGTTGACTGTGAACACTTTTGTCCCACAGAAGCTGGAAACCGACAATGTCTTGCTGAAGAAGGATTTGGCTTTTAAGGATTCTCAAGTAAAAGAATATGAAACCATGTTGGCTTCTCTAAGGGAGAACAATCGTCAGCAGCAGGTAAATCCAAATGTAATTCAGATTTCAGTGTAATTCCAGTCAGCCAAAACCTGGGCAGTTTGCTGACTTCTGGGTATTCTCTGCTGCCTGGTGTGTGTGGTGCTGTTACTGCCTTGAGGAGCTCGTGCACTCATTCCCTGTGTGTTTTGCAGCAAGGGCTGAGGGACAGCACTGCCAAGTGCCGCTCTCTGGAGGAGCAGCTGCTGTCGCTGCGGCTCAGCGAGGGCGAGAAGGACTGTCAGCTGAAGGAGCTGGAGTACGGCAAGAGGGCCCTGGAGCAGGAGATCCAGAGCCTCAAGCTGCAGGTAACACTCACCTGCTCTGGGGGCAGTAGCTGGTACTCACAGACAGATTAAAGTATGAAAATAAAACCCCTTATTTCCTGCAGAGCTGCTCCAGCCCCACACTCCAGACCACCACAGATGAGCTCTCCAGCCGATACGTGGAGATGATCAATAACCTGAGGGAGGACAAGGACCGGGAGATCCGCAGCCTCAGGGTGAGTGGTTCCACCTGGCACGTGTGTGGGAGCAGGAAAAGAGCTGCTCTTGTCCTTAACAACAAGAATGAGCTACCACAGGTACCTTTTGGGTATCTTTTGGTTCTGCAGTTACTTTATTCATAGACACTAATGATGGCTCAGAAACCCTTCTGTAGAACATAAAACTGTGATTAAAAAAAACCCCAACATTCGTTAGATGTAGAAATTAGGGATCAGTCCAAGTAGCAGGCTTTCCTAAAGGGTTATCTTGTGCGTCCTGATAAGGTAAGAAATTAGTCAAAAGACTGAGTTATTAAACTATTAAACTGATACTGGGTTGAATTCAGTCCAATCAGCACTTGCTGAATTTACTGTGCTGCTCAGCTTTCTGATTGGAAATCACTGGGTCTTACTGTTCATGCTGGTAATGAAAAAATACACCCTTCCTGCCTGGAGCACACGCTCCTGACTGCTCTGCTCCCTGCCTGTTTTGCAGTCCCAGTTATGCCAGTTCCAGCAGGACATCTCCAGGAGGGAGGGGAGCAACAGTGACCTGCAAATGAGGCTGCACGAACTGACATCAATGCTGGAGGACAAAGAGGCCTTTATTAAACAACAGCAAGAGGTAAAATAATACAAGTTGTTTCTCTTTTAAGAGGTTGTGTATTAAAACCTCCATGTCCTGTGTAGGTGGAAGCTCACTGGGTAGTCACTTGTCCTCTCCTGGCTCAGGAATCAGGGTTAGGATTTGTTCTAACTGAATCCTCTGCCAGCCTTCTGGAAGGACAGACTGTTCTCTGGGAGGAATTTCTGCAAATATTTTGTAGCAACTTTATTGAACTGATGCTTCAGAAAACATTATTTCCTGTGAATGTTTTCTGTTGGTTTTCTCAGGAGCTCTTCAGACTGAAGCACGAGAAGTTATCGGGCAGTCAGTCCCCTGGAGTGACAGCCATCATCACTAAAAAGTAACGTGGTTATTCACCTTCCTGAAAAATACATCCTTTGGGTTCTCCTTCCTCTCCTCTCTGCTAATCAAGCTGTTCCTGCAAATGTCTTAATCCTGCCCGTTCAACCTAAAGGGGAAAAAGACAAGAGAGGTTTTCCTGTACAGAGAGGGTTCAGCACTGGGAGGGGGGTCCAATGTGTCACAGTGACACTGAAATGTCTCTGCTGGCTTTGTGCAGCTCTTTGGGGATTAAGGACTGGCAGGGCTGTGGGGCAAGGTCACAGGGATTTGGACACAGGTCTGCAGATCTCATTCTACAAGTTGGCAATTCTCTTTCACAGGTACAGGAATCAGTATCCTATTCTGGGCCTCCTGTCTGATGACTACAAGGTCACATCACCTGTCAATAAATCCCAAACTATTGTCATTGAGAGGACTGGGGAGATATGGAAACACGTAAGTTTACCTGGAGAGGGGCTGTTCCCTCCCAGCAATCCCCAAGTGTTCAGTTTAACTCCAAAGCAAGTATTGGCCAAACTGGTAGCTGAGAGAGGCTCTCATGGTAATTCAACTCTGCAAAAAGCAAAGTGACTGATTACAGTCAAGGAACTGTCCTGGCTCTTGCAAGCTGCAGTAATTGGTGGGTGGGGTAGAAATAAAACCTTTTGTTGTTTTCTCTGGCATGCAATTACCTTGAACAAAAGCAGCAGCGTTGCTCTAACACCAGTCCCGAGGGTGTTGCTGTACTGGGCAGGTGGGAGGGATGTGTCCCTGCTGTGCTCTCAGGTGAGGAGGGTTTTGGGTGGGCAGTGCTCCTTTGAATCAGCAGCATTAATGACTCCAAGCTATTACTAAAACATACTAAACACCACATCCCTGAAACTCAGCTTGAGCCAGGGCCGTGGCTAACCCAGGAATGCAGAAAAGTGGTGACACTTTAAGCAGTGATTCAGAGTGCAAACAGAAAATAGGGCTGCAGAAGCTATTTCTGTTACAGGGCACAGGCTCGTGGTGCTGAGTCTGCTTACACCAGACTCAAAATAAAGTCCAAGGCTGGAGAAATGTCAAGGTGCTGGTCCCCAACCAGGTGTTCTGGTGCCTGCAGGTGCAATGACACAGCAGCACATGGACATGGGGGTTAACAGCGTGGTTTGGGGGGATACAACCAAGAGACAGTCAAAGGGTAACACACCTGGTGTATGTTACCTGCAGTGGGATTAAGTAAGTAAAAGGCAGAGGTCATTGGCAAACAGCAGAGTTTTATTACTGATGCCTAAAACTCACCAAGTTGCATTGCAACCTAGTGAAATGTCAAGCAATTAAACAGTAATAAAAAAGTTAAAAAATAAAGAGTTTGGTACAGAAGAAGGGCTCACTGGTTCCCTCAGACACTCAGGCTGCTGGAGAAAACAAGTAAGATGCTTTATAACAGGTAGTTTTGTTTTAAAACAGAACTAAGTTTGTTTCTAACTAGCTGCTTGTTTCTTTCAGGACTGAAAGAAACCTCTGGGCCATCAGAGCTGTTTGAAGGAGTTTACAGCCACTCCACCTGCTTTACTTTCTGCTACTCTGCACCCAGAAAAGGTTCAGTCTGCCAGTGAGAAGGGCTGGGAACACATTGAGGACTCACTTTTCCCTCAGAAGAGCAGGATGCCATCCCTCTGTGGACTTCAGCTTTTCTTGACTAACTCCTGTTCTTCAGCCAGTCCTGAAGTGATCTAAGAGACAGAAGGAAGACACCTGAAACCTTTTCCTCTTTGTCCTGGTAGCCATATTCCTCTGTCCTGTCTCCTCATGCTGAGAGTGGGAATGGCACCCCTGTCAGTCCCACACATCATGGGGCTGCTTCCAGTGCAGTCTCTGGCTGCCATCTGGAGATGATAAAAACCCCAGAAACCACCTTCACAGGGAACTTCAAAAATACCTCACTGAAAACTGCTTACCTTCACCTGCCTCTGTGTGGGAAGCTCAGACACAAAGGACAATTACTTAACTTACAGCAGCCACACAACTCCTCAAACCCAGCTTCTGAACTGGGAAATGCCAGCAGGATCCAGTTCAGTGAATGGTTGGGCAAAGGGTCATTTTAGAGAATGTTTCTGACCTCAGAGGTGATGTATGTTCAACCCCAAACCAGCTGTAAGTATTTATTTGCTGTGCTTGAAATTTTCAAGAACTTGGTATATTTTTATATAGAAGAACTTTGTATGAAAATAGCTCATGGACTAAATTTCCTCATCAGACCAACCTGCCTTTAACAATTTCTTTCAAAATAATTCAGTATTCATGAGTAAGTTGTTGTCTGAGCAACACAGCACAGAGAATCACAGGGCAAAGTTTAAACCAAAGGTGCTTTTTATAGTGGGGTTCTTGCTTTGCTTTACTTCTGCAGCCATTTCTGTTCACAAATAATATATAGCACAGGCAATGCTGGAGGATACGTGTAACCATGAAATAAACCCAAGTGTAACTTTCTGAATCACGTCTGTCTGTCCTGGAAACAGCTGGAGTGGGAGTGAGGTGGTGCCCTGTTCCTCCCCGTGAATCTTGACAAGTGAAGGACCAGTGGTGGGTCCCTTTCCTGGCCCCTGATCCCAGGCCTCCCCAGAGGTGATGTTGGATGTCCAGCTGTGCTCGTGCTTTTCAGAAATGGAGAAAGAGCCACAGGTAAAACCTGCTCCTGGTGCTGCTCTTTGTGTGTGTCCAGGCTGAGATGGGGCAGGAATTTCAGGAACCAAGTAAAGAGTTTGCACCAGCAACTGTCAACCACTTCAGCCTGGCTCTACAGAAAGAGGGTTAAATTAGTTAAATCCCATCCTTTGCATGAGGATGGCCATGCCCATCTGAAACCAATTATTATTCTAAAACAACTCCCCCTTTCTGTAGAGCAGTGACACGTGGGGTACATCTACAGAGCTAACAGAGTAGTGACACAGAACAGTGTCAGTGTCTTCTATCCCAGTAAATAATCTTACTTAGACTGTCCCTAAATGACTTTTCACCTTTGGTGATCTACAAAAAAAAAAAAAAAAGGCTTAAAAGAGGCAGAAGGCCATGTTTGTCTAATGCCATCACTTACCTGTGCCTGACTGTGCAGGGGTCCTGACTGCAGGTGCCCCAGGAGCACGGATGCCTCGCTGTGGTTGTGCTGGGCAGGGCTCTGGAGAGGCTGCAAAGAGCAGAAATGTGAGTTACTGATGGGCACAGTTACTGTGGGCTGGTGTCGGCCATGCAAGGGCAGTGACCATGCCCTCAGTGACACCAACCCGTGTTTCCTCAACTCCCTGGTACAGCAAAACACACAGGGAATGCCCCTGAGGGCAGACACAGACTCTGAACAGGAGTTCCTGGGTGTGGTGGGACAGTTCCCTGACAAAGGCCACCATTAGGCAAATGATGTGTTTTGCATATGCAGCTGGCAGGATGGTAAATCCCAGTGAAAACAGCACACCTGTTCCCCACACTGGAGCAGAGAGGCACGGGCAACCTGTTCAAAACAAGCCCAGTTTGCTGCTCAGGACACGTGGCTGTACTGGAGGGGTAGCAGGCTCAGCCCCTCGAAGGCTTGGGGGTGTATTTGTAGACTCTGCACTGTAAATGTTACAGAGCACAGGTCACAACTACACACTGTACTCACAGATAAAGCAACAGAGAGTTGTTAGAAAGTTGAATTAGACTAGTAGGTAAAGCATGTGGCCATTCCTTTATGGGCTGGGCTTTGTTTTCAAATCAGATTTATTTAAAAAGCAAATTTAGTATTTTTCATTATAAAGTACCTGTTACTTGCTGTGGTCTCAGCTGTCGCCTCTTTTCTGTTGCGTTGGAACTGATTTACCTAAAAGTGCTTTCTGCTGGAGTTTACAGAAACACATTTTTCTCATTTACTCAGCTCTGTACATGCTACTTATAAACACTTTGCTTGAGATAATTTCCCACCTCAATGTCAGGAAGTTCCACCAAGATTTCTACATTTTTTTCAGGAACAAATTAGAAAAATCAGACAGCATTTACTTCACATATTTCCAACAATACACAGTCTGTCCTATTTGACTGTCTTTATCAGCAGTGTTATTAGATAACCTCTCACTGTCTGAACAGAGTCTGGTTTTGCACTGAAGAGCAGGAGAAAATTGTCTTCTGGTTTTTGTGACTGACCTTTCTGTAACAAGGAAGTTTCTCTCCCTCAGCTGTGAAATAAAAGCCAGAGAGAGCCCTGGTTCAGAAGTTCCTGACAGCTCTGGAGTCACACAGACCACACCCAGGTAACTCACCCTCACCTCCAGAGTGTTGTGCTGCTCTTCTTCCCTGTTTTCTATTTTAGTAATTGTGGGCATTTGAAACCTGAAAATAGAAAAACACAGATGATCAAGACACGAATAATTTTTTAACTGCACCTGTCAGTCTGTCACTCCAATAAAACTGCACCAAACAACTGCCATTCCAGAACAACCCTTGCACAGTCTGTGAACTCCCCTTGCTCAAGCACCATTTGTCCATCACATCCAGCCTGGCAGGAGCAGAGGAGGGACACAAACAACAGCTGAGCTTCCTCCAGTGCCCCCAGCAGTGACAGCCCCACCCACAGCAGGTACTTCACCCTACCCCTTTCCCACTCCAGGTTCTGTGGAGTCACAAACCATCACAAACACTGGGAAAGGGACCTGTGGAGGTACTGAGAGACACATTTTACTATGACTTGACAGGAAGCATTTTTAGAGTCGTGACACAACAGCCACCAAAATTCTCTTCAATATTTACTGGGAAAGTGCACTGAAAAGGGACTGTGTCTTAAACTGCTGAAGAGTCAGGTGACATTTTATTCTTGCATTTCAGAAAATTTAAAATGCAGCTTTCTAGTAAAATCTTATGTCAAGAACAGCAACCAATCTCTTGCTTTGCTACAGAATTATTACCTGATTATTCTATCCACCTGTAAGGTGGGGAAAATGAGCCAGCAGGGCCGCGGGCTTCCTCACAGAGCCAGGGTGATCATCTTCGAGCTGCTACAAAGAAACTCTTTCAGTCCAAGTATTCAACACAATGGGAACAAAGCATTAACATGGTCAGAAAAGCACAACTTTTTTTTTGAATGCTACCTCTGACTGCAAAGCAGAGCAGCAGCAACAAGAAGATAAATACATTCTGCCTGCTTAATTTCTCCTTTTTGGTGCAAAACCTATGAGTTCAGTGGCTCAAAGCCTGTTGGAAATCCTTGGTCAACTGTTCATTTAAAATCACACTTCCTTCTTCAAGTTTTTAATCTACTACTGATGTTGTAATTCAAGTATCCTAAAAAGAGAGGGAATTTAGGATAGCAGCATGTTTACTGTTTCACTCTGCAAGCTGTTCTTATTACACAGACAAAAAGGAAAAAAAAAACCACCTACCTGAGTTTTCCCAAAACACGTGAGAAGTTTTATGTTCTCTTAAAGGAAAAATAATGTCAAAGGAATGTCAGTATCACATTTGAGAATAATTTTAGAAATAAACAAAATAAGCACATTATCTGTAAGTTTAAAGGGTTAGTCAAATCAAAGCCAAAGCTCTCCCCTCAACAGTCTGACAAATACACCTCCAGTAACCTGCTTCTGGTTCAATGTTATCACATACTAATCAGTGAATAATGCAATTAAAAATAGCAGGTAAGTTTCCACAGAATGAGACTTTCCTAAACACCATAAATGAAAAGCAAACTCCAAAAACTTTGGAGTGCAAGAGATGCGTTTTATTGTATGCCCGTTACGATGAGTAACACATTTAGAAATAATAATCCCACAGAACAGTGACAATCTTATTTTACAGCGTGTACATCATTTTTTACAGCCACATAAAACACGTATTTGTCTAAGAGATTTCCCAAATTTAACTTTCTGAAGTTTAGAAATATAAAAAAAATTTATTCTCAAGGAACTGATTCTCATCTGGTGCAAAAAACAAACCAAAATATGAACATTATCTGGAACACAAAGCCACAATATAGCATGAAGTTACAATTTCTCATGTGAACAGCTGTGTGCAAACATGAAGCAACTAAAAAAGTAAAAAATACACATTATATGCATAACATTTATGACCAGGTTTTTCATTAAATAGCCCTAGACCAGCTCGTTATATAAGCGCCATTGGATCTGCAGCATGCTAACACAAAGCATTGTAAAGGGATGCATATTTTAAATGTATACACTGTAAACTCAAGATCCACCTCCAAACTCTAGTGGCAGCAGATTTTTCTGGTTAAATACTGCATATATACTTTCTTACAGATTGAAAATGCATGTTTATAGCATGGTATAGATCTTTTTTTTTTTTAAAAAGAATCCACTGAAAGGTGCAATTTTATGTCTATATGGAAAATTTCCTATTAGGAGGTAGGACAGTAATTGTCATACCTGTTAAGAACACTGTCCTAAAGAACTTCTAAGTACTTTGAATTTTAATTAAAAAAAAAAAAACAACTCTACAGTTTTCAACTGTTTTTAATATTCTTTTTTAAAGAAGATTTTTAAAGTAGCGAGAAGAAAAACTAGTGTTGTCACAACACTATGAGCTGCATCCATTTTATCCTTAAAAAAAAAGTCAAATTCAAAGTTAATTTTGTTATATGTGCCATACTGAACAACATTCAACTGTAGTTTCAGATAAAAAAAGGGAAATTATGTACATATATATCTTTAACCCTAGCACCAGAACACCACCTCTGAGACCATAACATAGTGCTCTATTTCAAACATCAAATCCTGCAATAAAATAGGTTAGCAGCTTTGAAAACCAGTAAAAAAATGCTTCTTGGACCTAAACTAATAAAGGAAACCAAAAAGTTTCCTGATGAAATGTTCAAAAAAAAAATAAAAAAAAAAATCAAACCAAACAAGGGACAACCCCCCCAACTTTGAGCAGTTCTGAAATTCAATTTCTAGGCACAATTAAAACGTTGGGATGAAGTGACTGACTAAAACCCCCCCGTTCAAAACTGCACAAGAAGTGAAGACTGGGCTCCTTTGCAAACCTTTTGTAACTCACCCCACCACGACTCCGAACTGTTTTCATATTGGAGACAAATGTTACTGACAAAATGGGTCACACAATCAGCTCTGCTCTGTCTTCTGTACTTAGCCATGGGAAATACTATTCACCTGAAGACATTCATCCATCTTCCTGCAACTTTAAGACATTCATCCAACCTCTCCATTCTATAGTGCTCTTTAGGTTCTGATAAGCAACAATCATAGGGCTATGAGATCCCCTGCCAACCCTAATACTTTTAAGACTTTTAATACAAAGAATGTAAAGTTATGGTTTAATATCAAGCTTTGAAACCAGGAGAAACAGTTCGTGAGATTTATTTTTTTCCCCAATGAGCATTATCACAGTTTCTACACCGCCTCCTCCTGCAGCTCCTCTGTCACATTATGGCCTCCTTGTGGTGCCTCATGATGTGCTGATTTTTCTCGGAGGGCCTGCGGAAGCCCTTTTTGCAATACTCACACCTGTGGGGGTAGTCCTTGGTGTGGATGGAGATGACGTGCCGCTTGAAGCCCGACGCGTCCGTGGTGCTGTACTCACAATACTGGCACTGGTACACCTTCCTCCCACTGTGGGTCTTCATGTGCTTCTTCAGTTCGTTCTGCTGCCTAAAGCCTCTTTTACACCGTTTGCATTTAAAAGGCAGGTCCTTGGTGTGAACTGAGAGGATGTGCCCGCTAAGTACAAAAGGATCTGAGGTTTTGAAGTCACAGTGCCTGCACTGGTGGATCTTTTTCCCTTTGTGGGTCTCGCTATGCTTTTTGAGCTCCGAGGGCCGGTGGAAGCCCTTCTCGCACACCTCACACTTGTGGGGGAAGTCCTTTGTGTGAACCGAGATAATGTGTCGCTTCAGGTCACTGGAATTGGTGCTCTTGTGGTCACAGTGGGGACACTGGTGAGTCTTGTGCCCTTGGAACAACTCCATGTGCTGCTGCAGCTCCTTCTCGTCGGCGAAGGCCTGGGGACAGTGCTCACACTTAAAGGGCAGGTCAGTGCCGTGTTTGGTTTTGATGTGAGTTTTCAGGTTGGACTGGTCAGCACACCTGAACACACAGTGCTGACACTGGTATGGCTTTTCCCCCGTGTGGGTCCTCATGTGCTTTTTCAGCTCCGAGGGGTGGCGGAATCCCTTCCCGCACTCCACGCACACGTGAGGGAAGTTCTTGCTATGGACTGCCAGCAGATGTCTGTTGAGTAGTCCCTGCTCTGCAGTCTCATAGTCACAATATTTGCACTTGTGTAGCTTGGGCTCCTTGTCCCTCAGGATGAGTTTGTTGGAACTCAAGGGGCTCGCTTCTCTGTATCTTCTCGTGTACTCTGTAAACTCATGAGTTTTATCAACCTTATTTATAAGTTTATGGCTTTCCAGATGATTGTGGAAACTTACTTTTTTGTTAGTTGTAAAGTCACAGTCTGTACACTGGTACTTCTTCTTAATCATATGATCAGGATGGTTCTTCATATGCCTTTTCAAGAATCCTCTGGATTTAAATTTTTTCCCACAAATATGACAAGGGTAAACTGTTAGGGGCTGTCCATCAGGACCTATTATAACAGCTGTTTTTAAACAAACAAAAACAAGTTATGAAGGAAACACATTTACTGATGAAGTTTTAAATCAGCCAAGTGCTGTTCAGATTCATGCACTTACACTTGCAGCAGAGAGAGTGGTTCAGTAGTTTAAAAACAACCAATCCACAGCACCTATAGTTTATATAATTTTAGGAACTGCTCCAACAGATCAGGAATTATCACATGTGCAGTGAATATAGCCATGGTTACTTTCTAATAGCTTGCAACATTCCAATGAATTGCATCAGCCCTGAGTGTACTGACTCTGAATAGCAAAAATACGACATTTTCTATGCACAGAACTGGAGGGGGGAAGGACACAGGAAATATGCAAATCATCATTTAGAGCTTTTAATTCTGCATCAGCTTAAAAAAGAGAAAAGGAATAGCACAGGAGTAGGTGGCACTCCATGACAATACCGTAGCCATCCAGTGTTTACCTGTTTGCCATTGCCTGGCCTCTCCTCTCCTCCTTTTCTTGGCTTTTTGTTTGAGCACTCTATTAGTGCCAATGCTATCACAAATCTGCAGGTACTGTGTTGCATTACCGTTTTTGTTTTCTAATCGTGTATCCAAGTTATTTCCTAGAAACAAAAATTAGACACCATAAAAAACCTTAAACAACTTGTTTCTTTGGGACTGATGACTGGAATTGCACAGCAGCATTTTAAAAACAAATATTGCCCTTTCCTCTACCATGAACACACATAAAGAAGAGAAATGCCAATATAAAGCACTCTCTCTTTCCTGGCAAAAGTCAGGAATATAATTGCTTAAATACTGATTAATTTTTAAACATATTCCTTGATTTTTCTTACTTCTCAACACATTAATTTCTTATGAGTTATGCTGGTTGTTCCCTTCTACTTAACTTATTTTTACTTCTTAAGAGCTGCATTATCCCTCTTCTGTCTGCAACATTAACAACCTGGCAGTGCCTCCCAACTTCCCACCCCTCCAAAGGCCTACAGACATCTAGAATTGCTCTAACTCAAAATAGTAGAGAAAGACTATGGAGTCCTTCAATATAGAATTCCCTGACACATAAATGCACAGGACATTTTCAAGGACAGCACAGCAGTTTTAATGTTGTTAGAAGTTCTCACCTGCCGCTTGACCATCTTCGTATCTTCGGGGAAGCCTTCTTTCATCTCCTGCAGAAAATGGTATTTTAGTCATTATAAATTAAAATTATTTTTAAACATGATGGCTTCAAAAGTCTGATAATGAGAGAAAACTAACTTAGGTAATAAATAACAGCTTAACACCATCCAAAGGGAGATGTGCGGCTCACAATCAGTTCAGTGTTCTGTAATCACGAGCCCCAGGAAACAAAATCTCATCTTTGTGGAGAGTTAATATCCACTAAATCTGTGCTTGCATGCTTGCCATGCTGGCTTTTCTGCTTTTCAAAATCAACATGCTTGTTTCTGCAAACTTTTAACCTCATCTATCAGCTCAGATACCAACCCAGAGGTTATCTGCAATGTTCCTGAGATGGAAGCACGTTATCTTTCTGGAGTAGGACCAGGCTGATAAGAGGACTTGGCCCTGATCAGCTTCTCAGCACTGATCTACATGAGGCCCTGTGAAGTTCTGGAAGATGTACAAGGAACACCTTAGGAGTGTATTCCTCATTTTGCATTGGAAGTGTTCACTGCTATGTGTCAAAGCTCTGTGGTTCTGAACCCTTTCATCAACCCAGGCTCACATCATCACACCGATGAATTTTAACTGACTTGATTACTTAATTGGAACATAAACCACAGACGACCCAATACCCTCTCAACAAACATTTAACGCACCAAAATCCAAGAAGATCATATAAAAGAATAGACAGAATTCAGAATATATCCTAAGACTGTTCCATTATTTGAAACATGGCTACAGAGAACAAATCACCTTTTTTCTTTGTTTCTAACCTGAAGGACCAACAGGCTTAGAACACTTGCATAAACTGAAATTATGAGGAACATGCTTACACATTTATTCCTACGTCAGGTTTTTCCCCCTTCCCCCCAGCCAATGTAAAATACTTAAGGCTGTTCTTGTTGTTCTAAGATCTTCAACAGCCACCATGAACCATCAAACCCCACACACGTCTGAGCTGGGATCAGGAACAGCATAAAACCTCTCCTAACAGCTTTCCTTTCTACTTCATGAAACAAAACAGAGATCAGGAGGAGCTGTTTCCAAACTCCTAGAACAAGGTGAGAGATCATCACGTTTGCCCAGAGATTCTGGAAGCTGGATGAGGGAGGGAATAATGGATGGGATTTCAGGAAATACAGATTCCTACCGTAAGCAGCAGCCCAAGCAACAGGGACAAATGTTTTATTCACGCCAGAGTCCTCGAGCTGGGTGTCTGGAAGGGATGTAGCTTCTTCTTCACCTACAATAACTTCCATATAAACTTCATCTGCTATTTCAGCACAGCCTGGACGAGGGGAGAAGAATAAATCTTCAGGTTTATTCTGCTCATCCTAACTTTTCCTTCATTTAATTTGCTACCACTCTGCTTGATACCCATTATAAATTACTTTTCTTCCTGTGGCATTTACAACCACCCCTGCCCTTAGGGCATCACTGTTTATTCAGACATTCCTTAAAGAGAGAAAACACTTATCAATAAATACAAATCCAAACCGAATCCAACAGAATTTCAAATATGTAAACTTACAAACTTGCAACTGATGGCATCTGCTACTTTGCCAGAAAGCTGCTTAATTCACAGGAGGAAAACAGAAAAATCAAAGTTTGACTAACCTCATTAACCTCATCCATGGACACGTTAAATTTAATATAAATAACGAAATGATTGCACACAGTATGCACAAAGTGCACTATCCACAACACTTTAAAATAATCATTGCCTGCTTTTTATTTTTAGGGAAGATGAGCTTAGTTTTCTACTACTCCAGGCTGAAGAATCCTTATGAAAAAAATTAAAAATGTCCTTGAGAATGATGGTTATATTGGTGTACAAATAGCATGAGAAACAAAAATGTTTCTTGTTATGCTTACTAATATCTTCATCTTCCTGAGAGGAGTCCTTAACAGCCATGTAAACCATTTTTTCTCGCTGCATTCTCCCAACACCTCCTTGTTCAATCACTCCAGCTACAGAATGGCCATTGTGAAAGTCACTCTCAGTGACAATTTCTGTCCCACCTTTAACAAAAAGAAATAACAAAGTTACACATGTTAAGTAAATGTGAACAAAGCCACCTTTAATTTCACATTTAAGTATTTTTTTCCTATTTACAACAAAACTGTTTTTCCATAAAATTCCAATTAAGTGTTTTTACATTCAGGTTTGTCACAAAACCACACAGGTTTGATACTCCAGAACAGAGGAGGAGAAAGGTCTCTCAGTGTACCCTGAAAAATTCTAACCTGAACAATCCCCATGTCGTGTCCTACAAAACACTCCACTCACTGGTTTATGTGGAATAAAGAACAACAAACAAAAACACCCTGAAACTCCTCACACTACTGGAAGAATAAACAGAATTTAAAGGTACCTATTTCAACATCATCTTCAGCTTCAGCTTTAAATATGTACACTTTGATAACTTCTGAGCCAAACCCGTCATCTTTGGCAACGTCATCGTTCGCCACCTCGGTGCTGATCTTCAAGGGAGTGCTTCCTATGTGGTCCAACTTCTCCCCCACATCATCCACTGTAACGAGAAGAGAACAATAATGAGGTTCAAACACATTTTCAGAAGTCAAAGTAACCAGCAGCATGATTTTCTCCACTATTCTCCCCATGCACAGTAAAGGTTTGTATTCATAAGTGGCCTTTACAAAACAGCTCAAGGAGATTCCAGAAGTTCAGTATCATTTTACTGCAACTCAGGAAACACAGCAGGAATTACAGAATGAAGGACACAAGAGGGAGCCTGTCATCAAAGGGAATGAGGCAACTGGTTATGGCTGAAACTATTACATTTAGAGAGCAAAAACGTATCAATAATTACACATCTATCCAATAATGTTAAAAACTAACTCAGAATTGCCTGTTACAGTCTAAGAGTCCCAAAAAGTTTCAGCACTCTGACACACTGGTGACTCAGATTTAGTAGCTGAAACTAGTCAAGTGTGATGACTTGGAGTATATTCCCAGTTAAAGTGTGCATCAAAAATCTGACATCTTCTTCCTAAAAGAAATTATGATTTTATCCACTTTATCACTTGAAAACGTATTAATGAAGATTATGGTATAATATAGAGCTGATTAAGTGATGCAGTGACAATAAATCCAAATACTGCTATGTGAGATTGACTTCTCATCCTTTATGTACACAACTCACTCATTATTTGGTCTATATATTCAAAATGCTCATTGTAGTTGTACAACAAAGAATACAGTCAAACTACTAAAAGCAGCACTATTTTGGTAAAAAGGGCATTCTCATAGATGTCCTAAGATTTATCCCAAATTGCCAGCACAAAGGCCACTGAGCTAAGCATCTTTCTGACATTTGTACCAAGACACTTCTCTTGGGGGATAAAGTTAGCTCCTGTGCAGATGGGCAGCACAAACCTGTGCGATGCTCAACACCCACCGAAGGGCTCGAAATGGAGAATTCCACAGAACGGAAACAAAACCTGAAGTAAATCCATTCCAGGGAAACAGCAATTTACTGCACACGGGACATTAAAATATGTGTACACGAGTTAAAAAAATGGTGGCAATGAGCATTAAAGTGACAGCAGCTTCCAGGACTCCGTGTGGATCCCAAGGGCTCTGATCCCTGAGGGAAGGCTGGCTCACCTGGGGAGAGCTGGGCTAGTCCCCAGTCCCATCCCAGTTTCCTGCCCCAGGGCAGTGGTGACAGCTCCCAAGAGCTGCTTTAACCAGCACTGGGCTGAACTGGAGTTACTGGAGCCTTTAACACTCCAGGCAGTCCCAGGAGGAGGGTCAGAGCCTGCCAGGGAATGCCCCTCCTGCAGCAGGGCAGGAACCCACCCCAGCAATCCCAAACTAAGCTCTTCCCACTCACAGACAGGATTCCACAGAACACTATCCAACTACCACAGCACTGAGAAACCTCATCTCTGCTTCACTAACCTTGGATTGCAGCACATGAGCACAGAAGTTACGGAGGACATGACTAGACAAAATGTAGGTAAGTACAAGGAAGTATTTCTTTTAATTTTAGAACCTCTGTAAAGTAAGAAAATTAAATGGAAAACACTTCAAAAATGCTGGTTTAGCTGGGGGTTTTTGTATACAACAGATTAAGTCCAATGCTGAAAAAATACCAAACTTGGATCAGGAGAAAAAAATCAAAAATCTGCTTGGGAAATTGTTTTTTTTTAAATAAAACCCATTCTAAATATCTACTGAAATGGATGCCAGCAACATCATCACCTTAATCTGGGAGAGTCTGACATGTAGTGCATGGTGTTCATGTTACCTGGCGGACAGAAGAGTCAGACACCAGAGCTGAGAGAGCCACAGAGCCTGGAATATTCCTTTGACACTCAAGTTTACCAGCACCAGGTTATTAGAACACTTTTATATCCACTTGGGAGTGTTACAGCACCTGCTGTAACAAACTGACATTTGTTATGCTGCCATGGTGGAGTTATTAGAACTCCAAAAGGAAAAGTGGAGATGCTCAAATATACTTATATTGGAAAAAGTATTTCCATACATTTACTATGCTTGAATTTATTAAAGACCATTTTCTTTTCTGCAAGGCTTTTATAAAAAGTTTCTTATTAAAGTTATTTATAGAAGTTTCTTATCCATATTCTTTAAAATGATAAATATCTGTTTGATTTTAGTACAATGACCATTTCCACTGCATGTCTGAGTCTCTGAAGGACTGGAGGTAACTCACAACTCATACAGAGTTGTATGACCAGAAATGCTGCCAAAACCCTGACAGAATATTTCAAAGCTTACTAACTGTAAGCTGTTCCTGTACATTTAGAATTGGGAGGTGGTAATAAAGTTATTTTCAAATCTTCGACTCAAGCAACACCAACTTTTTTCTAAACTCCTAAATTTTATGATGTTGTAACATTATAATTTTATAACATTATCAGTTTGACAGAAATGAGTATTTCTTTATTGGGAGGTTATTTAACAATGGCAACTTCCTGCAGAACAGGGGGGCAATCACATATGTGATAAGAAGTTTTCTTTATGGCAAAATTTCCAACTATTTAACTAGTATTGTGGGCCAGTGACTGTGCACCACTGTGGAGCTGGTGAAATAACCAGTAAGAAAAAAACCACATAATTTCAGATAGTTGCCTTCAGATCAACTGCAATGCAACAAAAATCACGTAAAGGGAAAAAATGAGGATTTTTTCAGTTTTTATAGGAATATTTTCAGAAAAAAAAACCCATGAATATAGCATGTAAACTCAAATACTAGGTTCTACTATTTCAAGTAAAACCCCCAAATCTTCAATATCCTTTAAAAAATGGGGAGTTCTGTCTTAGAGGGGCAAATTTACAACAGTACTTTTAAAATTTATGGTTACTCCCACGCATTAACCATCCTGTGTATATTCAAAGACCTTCAGTCTTTACAATTTCAGCTTAAAAAAAATGGAAACCTATCAGGAAGTCTGTGTATCCAGGGCCTCTGGAATGACTTTTCTACAAAAGCAAATGTGTAATACAATGAAATTTGGAAAATATAAACTGGACTGAGAAAAAGATACCAATATAGACTATTATCTGTAAGATGTGTCCTCTGTTTCAAATACCACCACAACAAAACACAGTGAACTGGCAATTGCTGCTGCTTGAATTGCTGTCTTAAATGAAGGGAATTTCATGGCTTCCATCTACTTTTTAAACACATTTGT